GTGAAGGAGCTCCATTTGCAGACCGGACCCTCCGCTTGTTGCCCTGATCCCATGCTCCCCTTTGGGATGGCCTGGCAGAACTGGGCCTGTTTCGGTGCTTCGGTGGAGGTTTGGGGATGTATAGAGACTCAGTGCCAGGGGGAAAAGGTGAGGTAGAATTTTGCCTCGGTGAGGAGACAGGACTCTTGCAGAGATGGAGGCCAGACTCACTTTGCCGTGAAGATGCTTGCTGATTGCCACTGTGAGAAACCGGCAAGGGAGGAAGCAATCCTTGACTTTCCACCTCCTTTAGACTCACCAGATCAAACTTTCCATCTTTTTCAACCAAAACCCGTCCTTCCTTTGCTCCCTCATTATGTTCATCGTCAGGCTCTCCAATCTCATTCTCCTCTCTTGGAGAGATCTTCAGTCTCTGCATTTGTCCGGATACCTCTTGCTCTTCCTCTACGTCCCTATACAAGGCGCTGTTGCTCTCTTGAGCGTCAAACTCTTGCGCAGGCACCACCAGGTCAACCAGAGTGTCTTTAAACTGCAGGCGTCTGTGCCGGCTCTGGTCTGGAGGATCCTGGTCCTGGAGTTGTTTGTTAGCCTCTTGAATCTTATCCAAAATATATTTATTTTCTTCATCAAGCTCTTCATTGTTCTGTAAATGTGGAGAGGTTACAAGATCATCCCTATCAGTATCTAACGCACCCTCTAATGGCTCCATGGGCGTTGGCCACCTTTCATCCGCTTCTTCATCAACCATTTCCTTGTGTTTGTGCACATCTTCTTCAAGCTCTTTGTCTATCTGAGCTTCAATGTCATCGTCATCAGGATCCTTTGTTGGAGAAAATAATGTGTTCAGTTTGAGAAAGCCACAATAAAAGGAGTTTGGCATTGTGTGAGTTAAAGGGATAGTTTACCCTAAAAAGAAAATTCTGTCATCATTTACTCACCCTCAAGTTGTTCCAAACCTCTGTGAGTTTTTTTTCTTTTGTTGAGCTTTAAAAATATACAGTATATATTTTAAAGAATGTGGGTAATCAAACAGTTGCTGGTCCCCATTGACTAACATAATATGGAAAAAAATACTATGGAATTCAATGGGGACCAGAGACTGTTTGGTTACCAGTGGCGGTTCTACATTGAATTACACCCTGGGCGAGACCCCCTTATATTTCTCAATTGCACAAATCCTTCATTAGAACATCTGAAAAACACACTTAAGAGAATCCAGTTATTTAACTATTGCAATTACAACAGGAAACACACTTTTTAAGGTGCACAATCTCCACCTCCAACATTGCCAAAAGACAATGAACACAATTCTGCACAAAATATGACAGTATAAGTTATCAGAACTTAAATAAATATACACTATATACATAAATGTGGCAAAAATATATGCAATCAGATATATAAAAAATGTAACAAGAACAGAGAACAACAATAATATAAAATATTAAAAATAATATACAAATAAAATATAGAATATTCTAAATAGCACAACTCCTTCATCACACAAATGTGAAAACACACTAAAGAGAATCTAATTATTACACTATTGCACTAAGAACAGAAAACACAAACTAAAACCTGACCTTTCTGGCCTTCCTTGATGCAAAATCATCAATGATGTCATCGTATGAAATCTGCTCCCCTATTGAGTGATTGATACTGATGACGGCAAGGCCAGTGAGCCGTTCCTGGGACATGGCTGACCTCAGGTACGAATTGATCAACTTTAGTTTTGAAAAGCTCCTCTCTGCTTGAGCCACAGTGACTGGCAGAGTAAGTGCAATCCCGAGAGCAGTCCAAAAGTTGGGGTAGATCTCCGACAGATCCTTATCATGCATAAAAGTGATAAGCTCAAGGAGGCTCATGGTCTTTGATGGCAGGTCAGGGAAGTTCTTAATTTCCTGCACAAGCTCTCTACTGTCCAAATCAGAGTGCCCCTTAAAGTGCAGTGTGGTGCCTAGTGCCTCGCATTGCTCTGCCAGCTCCTCATCTGCAAGACTTGGGAAATTTGTCAAAACCCCGAATTTCTTTCCCACATTTTCCAATGTGGAAAATCTCTCCTTGGTATAATTTATTTCCATATTCACTTGTTGTGTCTCCCAAAATGCCTGATAAACATGATTTAAGTCCTGAATAAATGTGCGTTATTTGGAAGAAAGTCGAGGTGTGACTGACTTTAGCCCACTAATTCCATTAGAGTATTGCTCTATACAGTGGAGCAATACCAATGTCCGTTCCATTTGGGAGAGACCCAGAGGTGAACTGTCCCCCGCGCCGCGCCCCGCTCCCCTTTCCCCTTCTCACACAGCTTCTGTGCACGGCACCTTCTCAGCAAGCAGGGGTGCCAATTTGCCAATTCCCCACACAGTGAAATGATAGATAATAGAAAACTGCTTCGCGGCGGCGGCGCAGAGGATTTTTTTTTTTTTTTAACTGCTCGTGCCGCCTCCTATGTATCAAGAAAAAATATCTTCTTTTGTATTCAGCAAAAGAAAGAAACTCATAGAGGTTTGAAACACCTTGAGGGCGAGTAAATAATGACAGAATTTTCACTTTTGGATGAACTACCCCTTTAAGGAGAGCATGTTTTCTAAAGGGTGAATCAGATACATAGAGCGTATGTGTTGGATAATGCAGTGCCATGAGACAGAGTTCTCTGGGTAAGTGAAAGTGTGTATGGATCTGTGTCAGTGGGGAAGATTTCACACACACAGGTACAGCGTCTGTGTAATGGAATACCACACACCAGAAGACTCTCAGAGACCAGAAGTCTCAGAGATATGAACCGGTTTCTGCCATCATTGCACATTCACTCACTTACCTGTTCCTCACACTTGCTCTCCTCACTGATAAGCCAGTCCAGGTCTTTCTCAAAGTCATCCTCATACTCATCTGGAATGTTCTGGACTGCAGAATCACTCATTGTCTCTTCACTTTCTCACTATAGAAGGATCCTAAGACACAGCAAATGAAAAATGGAGCACACAGAAAAAAAATTCTCCCTTCTGTTTCCAAACAAAAAAGGTGATAGAACCATTTTATTTTGAGCAAAGTTAACTGATTTTGGGTGTAAAGAAATTATTATAAATATGTATAATTATTTGAAATAATTATTTGGCCATTTATTAATGAATGTTAGATTTTATTGACCAATTTATTCTCACTTTAATTTAGTTACATAAAATTACAATTACAGTTATATAGGTGACATATCACATAAATGTACAACACACTTGGTAGGTTTGTTGACATGAATGTAGCTAGGGTTATGTAATAAATAAAGCCCAAATGAATTAGGGCTTTAGATTCTAACCACTTGGAATCATAAATTAGATGTCAGAGAGTATCAGAAAGTGAAACACAGGTGTGTAGACATGGCAACTGATCCATAATGAGGTTATTATAGTTAACTAAAACTAAAACCTTTAAAATATATATATATATATATATATATATACCTGCTGAGATACAAGGAGTGTGACCTGAAATTCTCAGTTCCACCTGGTTCGACGCGCATGTCCGGGAAACTCATGAATATTCATGTATGCCCCGCCCACTGAAACAGAAAATCTTGGAAACCGAAAATCTCGTAAAGCCCACTGCACGATTTTAGCAATTCTATAAATCGTTCATTCAAATATAATAACTTGTTTTAACTTAATGTATTTAAAAGAACTAAAACTTAAAAAATTAAAAACACAACAAAATTACAAAACTTTAACTAAAATTAAAACGCAAAATATAATAAAAATAAGAACTATTTCAAAATATTAATACAATTATAATAGTATTTTGTATCTCAATGATACTAAAGTAACACTGGTCCTCATACAGTGACAATTAAACTAACAATATTCTCCATTGCTGTCCAATAATAAATATCTTATTTGTGATTCTAAATTGTTATTCATTCGTCTTTATTATTATTTTTTTTAACCTCAGACTTTGCAGACGCAGTTTATATATTTAAAGGGAAGCTTTATATTCATGTTGTAAATGCCACACACATATGTTCATTCCACTAAATGCACTGCAATGCCTAAATAATTATAATATGAAATTCCGTGATAAAATAACAATTTAACGAGCATTAAGGCTAATATTACAACACAAAACCTGGTGGTCTTGTCATTGCATTAGATAGTTAACCTATTGTCTGCTTTTAGAATTCAGTTTTATTACTTTCCGCGCCTAAAAATGTATGGAGCTTACCTTCAGAACTTCTGTTTGGTGTTGCTTCACGTTAAGTGCAAAAATAATGAATGATAATTCATTAGCCGGCCTATATGTTCCAGATCTGGTCTGTACGCGCACCTGTACATTAGAGAGCAGGTCGCTCTAATCCTCTGCTGGCCTCAGCTTCAAAGTAGCGTGTAACAGGTGTTGCCATAGAGACGCACAACACGGCCTGTCGTGACGGCGCGCACATGCGCAGACTCTTTGTAAATGTAGACGGAAGATCCAGCCAGATTTTATCTGTGATACAGTTAGTGGGGAAAAAAAAGGTACAACAAAGGATACTTTGGTTTGTTTGGCAAAATCGTTTATAGTTTATTAAAATAGTTTATTTCCTTAATTTACTTACGTCACCTTAATTAGCTATTTATTTTCTACATTGTCTTTTTACGAATGCTTTGGCAATATTATAATTTTTAACAACCATACCAAAAAGGTTTTTCTGACCCTGACACTTTTCTAGATATCACTTTCTTGTAAAACATCTTGTCAACACAACACTAGCACAAAGGCAACAATTATTCTGCATTAATATTATTATACTATTAATAATATTTTAAAAGGTATTTATAACAGGACAGCGAGTGAAAAATAACTTAAAGGTACTGGCACTACATTATTAAAATATTCCTTTTTATTAGCTCGGAAGTACATATTTAAAGTACATACGATTAGTTTATACTTTCACGTTAATGGTATATGTAGTCCGTACTAGATTAAATAAAGCACAGTTCATAGGAAAACAACGCAATTTCCCACAATACACCTCGAAAAGTCAAGACACGCATCCGCGGGCAGAACTGTTGAGGAACTACGGGCAAAACTGCATATAGTAACTTTACACCCATTTATGATCATCTTATCAATTGGCAGGTCGTGGACCGATACAGTTATTGTCGCTCAGTAGACAAAATGACTTCTATAGGTTTGCGCACAATAAACAACTCAGCGAGATCAATAGCAAGACTGTGCCAAGTGTCCCGCTCTGCGCATGGCACAGCTGATTTCCACTCTTTCGTAGCCCGTTACTCTACCCTCCGTAAATGTGCCTTTCTTCCGGGAGGAAAATGGTCATTCATAAGAGCAGGAACGAGACAGATGTCTCATGCATCGCCGGGGAGGATCTCACTCGGACGGTACGGTAAAGGTGTATTTCTGGCTGCTGGGGCAGCAGCTGTCACAGGTGTTCTGACGGCAGGTGTAAGTCACTTTCAGCGGGCCGAAATGGCAACGAAGGTATCCACGGTTGAAGAAGAAGAGGGGGACATACGGGAGAGATGCAAGTCGTTCATGTCTCTACCAGTCACTGACATCAGGGTCTTGGAGCAGAGGAAAGACGCGATGTCTACGAGAATGGAGATGCTCATCATGGAGACACAGGCTGCATTCTGTAAAGCCCTTGAGGAGGTGGATGAAGGCACGTTCAAGGTGGACAGATGGAGTAGAAAGGAAGGTTAGCTAATTTCTGCTGCCCTACTTTACTAATGTAACGTTTAACTTTATGAAGTTATAATTAATTGAATTCATTGAATGTGTTTTTAATTTAAAAACCTATTCAGTGATGGTATGAATGAAACTTATAAAAAAACGTATAAAATATAATTACCATAACAACTGGTGGCACACATGGTGGGCCAAAGTCCTAATTTATGTTTGGATCTACAGGTATGTGGGAGCCCATTTCCACCACATAAGAAAAAAAATAATGTTTTGGTAAACATAACATACTGCAAAAGTGGAAATGATGAAATAAAAAAAGTCATTTATGATATTAAAAAGTTTTATTTATGAAATAAAAAGACATTTTTGGTTAAATTATAACTTTGTGTGTTGTAACTTTGACTTTATATCTCATAATTTTGACTATATCCTATAATTTCGACTTTATATCATATTTGACTCCCTGTGTAATAATTATGGCTGTTTGTCTCATAATTTAAAATGTTTGTCATAATGGTTTCTTTGTTGTAATTTTGACTTTTTGTCTCATTATTTAGGCTTTCTTACGTCATAATTTTTGTCATAATGTGAACGTTTTATGTCATAATTTCTACTTTTTATTTCATAATTATGGAGTTTAAGTTGTCCCAGATGACACTATACACTATGCACTTACACAGTGCACTATGCACTCTCCCATCTAGTGTATGAATTTTATAAAGTTATTTTGTCATCCAACATCAAAGTCGGAAAGCCTTTCCAAATGTTCCTTTTAAAACCATGATGTAATTGGTGAAGTGTCAAGTTTAAATGGCAAAATCTTCTTTTAAATTTGAAAACATTCCATTTAGTTTTAATTGACTTATTGACTCAAAATATGATTATTATTAATCATCAAAAAAATATTTGTAATGCATCTTTTTAATGTTGCATTCTAAAGATTATTTAGCTATCATTGTTCCAAAAATGTGTGCTTAATTATATATTATAACAATTTGCTATATGAAAAAGTTAATTGTTCCATAGATCAGTGATTCCCAACAGAGCGTTGGAAAGATTTCGATTTTGTTAACCTATAAAACAGAAACATTCATACATTAAATATCAGCTAGAAGATTCGTGCTGGTGTTACACTGTAACAAAACCGATTGCATGTTTCTTGTGTCTAATAAAGGTGGCGGTGGCATCAGCTGTGTGATGCAAGATGGGACAGTTTACGAGAAAGCGGGTGTGAACGTGTCCGTGGTGTTTGGGAACCTCACTGAAGAGGCCGCCAAGCAAATGCGCAGCCGTGGAAAAGTTCTGAAAGGGAAAGATGGTGAGAGACTTACTTCTCATTTCGAAGTGAATGCAGAGTGTGATAGAAACCAGTTCCTTATATCTTCAGTTCTACTTCTAGTTTTTAATTTTGAAATAAGTTTGAACCGTCAGTGGTCTCAAGTAGGGGTGCAACGGTTCAACTTACTCCCGGTTCGGTTTGTATCACGGTTTTAGAGTCCCGGTTTCGGTACGGTTTGGTAAGTGCTATGTTTAGGGAAAAAACTATATTGTCAAATAAAAATAAAGAAAATAAGAACAAATAATCTAACTACAAGCAACAGCACAAATAAATAAACAGTGAAAAAGATACAAATAAAATAAACAGTGCTTTTCAGTTTTTTTAGGTAGGTCTAACATAGTTTTTAGGTACAGAAATGGAATAAATCAAATGTAAAATAACATTGCATATTTGACTGTATAAATTAAAGATTAATCCTTATTAAAGTTAGAAAAGTTATTCAATCAAGAGCAGTGAGAGATTTCCGTGTTGTTGCTGTTTGATTAACATTAAGAAAGTGCTGTCACTTTAAGAGAACACTGATCCAGTGCACTGATACTGTATGTTCAGCCGACTATGTCTGCTAGGATACTCACCAAGATGGGCATTTTGACATAATTTTTGTGTGAATTTGTCCATTCAAGTACAATACTTCAAAGAGAGCTTAATATTTGCGCGCGTTCAGATCTTCTCACTGCGCGCGCGAGTTCGCATCTTCTGGCTCTTTAAGGCTTAAATGAGTTTAGTTTAAACACAGATAGCAACGTGTGCTGTTCAGGTCTCACCTGCG